TGTATGTGAATGTTTCTGTAAAGTGCCCTGAGACAACTTTGTTGTGAGATGGATGGACGGATGGATGGATGCATGGATGGATGGGTGGATGCGAGTATTTTGGTTGTAACACAGAACTCAGATGTTCTGCTGCTGGAAGTATCTGTTCTTCTTCCCTGTAGTCTCAGTTGATATGAATTGTTCTCACCCTGCGGTGTTGTTGCAGTGCCTCCCTCTGTGGCCGATGAACAGCTCAGGGAAGTTGTGCATCCGTGCGGTCGGCTCTGACTCCAACTCAAAGTTCTTCTACTTCAACCGGCAGGACAACGGCACCCTGCTGAGCCTTGACACAGTGAGTCTTCTAGAATCTGACTGTCCACTCAGACAGTCCAAATATGTCTGTTTTCTGATTTTACGTGTCTTTGAAGTGCGGTGGGATCATTATGGACGTCCACATCTCTAATCACGCCACCATCATCAGCTTTACTGATTATTATGAGGGAGCAGCCCCCGCCCTGCTGATAAACCACACAGCCTGGGCCACCATCAGCTACAGGCAGAGGTCATCACACACACAAACACAGCGGGACATGTTTTCTTATCTTGAGCAACCGTTCTCCTGACTTGCTGGACTTTTCCTCTGTTTTACTCATTTAAAAGTTTTAGATTGTTTTTGATGAACACTTTAAATGATTATGGTAAAGTTTGGAAACCTTGGAAGGAAAACATTCATATGTTTGAACTGGTTTGAAACGTTTGTACAGAACTCTAAAATAAATGTTATACTTCAGCCTGTTGAAAACAAACTGACAGATTATTTTTTTCTCCCTCAGCGGATCAGATGCGGTTTATAATCTGCAACCTGGCAATGCTCGGAGGTTTGTGTGGCATGACCCTGCAGGAACCCGAACGTTCAGCTGGAGCCACAAGGAGCATTCAGGAGAACTGGACCTGCTGAAGGTCTGACACAGAACCTCACACCTCACATTTTTATTGTCCCTGGCAGCAGAGTGACGGAGGGAATTGGAAATAACCCCCGTCCATCTGTGCTTGAATGTTGTGAGCGTGATCATTGTAAAAACAAGTGAGGTGCTGACTTCCATTTTGGCTGCAGCTAGGTGAAAGAAAAGTTACCATTTAAAGTTGAGTTGCAACATAAAAATCCAAAATGGCCAACACTATGTATATGTATATACATATATGCATACAGTATATATACTGTATGCATATATATAT